TCCTTTTAGGTCAAGGAACAGGACAACCGTTGATCGACGGTGCGTATGGCGTAGCTCGAGGACTTGACGCAAGGTGAAGATTTGATCGACAACCGCGGCCTGGTTGCAATCCTGCTTGTTGTTCGCGGATGTCTTCCTGAACGGTATCAGACATCAAAGTATGATGAAGGCTAGTAACTTGGTGACGATTGGGATCAAGCTTATTCCACGGTGGGTTGTGCAGTCGTTGCGAGATCCCTTCTTAAAAATTGGACTGATCAGTGATTCGCTCCAGGATGATGGAATGCGCTCTTATAACCAGATGTTACGCATTACATCAGTAATGGAGTCTACAAGGTCATCGCCCCCGTTCTTGAAAAGATCCTGAAAAGAGAAAGCCCGTCCGGCCCTGCTGCCTTTCCTTTCTTCAGGGCTTGGATGCAAGAACGAACTTCTGCTGCAGTAGGAGGTTCAGATTACACTGCCCACTGAGCCTCAGCTACATCGAAGGAGATAACCTGCTTAGCGCCTGGCCAGCAAAACTGTTCGTTGAAGTACTTCGCCCATCGGTCAAGCCGTTGTTCCCTATTGTGAATAGCTTGCCCACTTTTGTCGCAGATTGTTCCACCTCGTCAAGGTGCAATCTCGTCCTGATGGTTACCAATCATGGCCTGACTTTTGCCTTATGCATCGATCTCAGCTACCCACATGTGCTCAATGTGGTTTATTGTTTTTTCGTTTCCACTCTCTAGTTACCAGCACACCTTGTCCTCTTTGGTTTTAGATTTCAACGGGAGTGCCCACTGCTACCGTACCATGTTAGACCTGGCTACGCGATTTGTGCTCTTCCGTCGCGGTGAACCAATAGCCCCTGGTTGGGTGCGAAGCCGCTTGGCATCGGCTACTCGTTATCTACGTTGGTACCGCACCTCTTCGCCTATGGTCGACAATGCGAGTTTGGTTCTGGGCATTTTATTGATCATTATGGCGGCCGCGTCTGCATTTCAACTCAGGCACCTAATGGACATACATGCTAATCGATCGACTACCTCGGAATCTATTGAACCCGTCTCATCCAGACAACCCACCTCCGTGTTAACTTAATCACGTGCATAATTGACGCATTTTGAACATTCCTGCCCTTTCTTTCAAAGAACAGTGCTAACTTCTGTCATCATAATCTTTTTGTACACCATATCTGCTAAAACGTTTTTGATTATCTCAAACCGTTTTCACTTGTAGAATACAAAAGCATTTGAGATCTATATAATTTTCCACCAATTTCATTTTACTAATAGTGATATACGTTCGTGTAGTGACGCCAATTAAATTTATATCCCATCTAAAGCCTTTTAAGTTATTCTCAACGTTAACAGCCTGGAACCAAACAGACAAAGACAATTAGAAACGAGAATCTGTAATTGTAACATAATTTGGTAATCATTTTTTGCCAGCAGCGGATTTGACCGCCTTCCGTTCTTTGGCCACGGTTTTGGCTTTGTTCACATAGTCAACAAGACACCCTTCTTCTGCCAGTGTCTTTAACAGCTCCACAATCAAGGGTAGGTAGTTGTGCCGCCGTCTTATATTCTCCTGACGGTGGTTCGCGGCCTTTCTTTTTTCGTTCTCAATATTTGTTTCCAATTCCTTGATTAGCTCTTCAGAAGCCTGAAAAAGCACAGTGACAAAGTCAAGTGATCATTTAGTATTCGCTTTTGAACATCATATCCTGGCAAACGGATTGTATGGTGCCATATAAGAAAAAAAAGCTCTCTTTATTGGTTTGAATTAGAATGGCGAAATCACAGTATTAGGATAAACACTTGCAGCATTTGGAATCCCGTTACACTTGCACCGGTTATCTTAGCCCCACCACATCATTAGCTGACCACTTTTGGCTGTTGCTGTTCCCGAGAAGAGTAGCCAGATAATTACTATACGGTTTGCCTGAGCCCATTGTTGAAAGATGAATCAGTGTCGCATCTCGTGGGGGAAAATTAAGCACATCTGGGACAAGTCTAGCTATAAAAAACGAAAATAGTCTCAGATGTGATTTGCGAACTAAATGAGCCATTCATGGTTTTGTTGTGTATCGGAATAAGAACCATTAAGTGATGAGAATACAAAGTGGCAAACAAACGCATCCTCAGAAAAACTTAGTCATGCCACTACAACATAATATATATGACCAGTTGCATATGGGGATCTATGGGAACAAAAGGAAAGTAATTGAGACGTTCAACAGTTTGCTCCACGGTTAGTCCCTACTTTGAGTGTGGGTAACCTAGTCTCGTAAAAAGCCAATTATCATTTGTTCGCATGTTTCCCGACAGGTCACTTGGCAATATGGGGCTTGAGTGCTTGCACATATTGTTCTTCAACACAGATGGTGGCTGAGACCAATGCCGACTGCCTTCGCTGTGGTTAGAGTACGAAACCGTGCATATACAGAACGTCTCGGTTAAGTTTACGGTGTGATTCGCGTCAACATGCTGCGGTACAGCAGCGCTTGTGATTAATCTAATCGTTACCCTTCTCAGCCAAACAGTGTGACGCGGGTGCATAGACGCTTGGTGGTGTAGACAAGATATTCACTCCACAGGAGCAAGGGGTCAGTCGCTCCTGTTCTATTCGATGCAGTGGCAGGGATACTAATTGATTCAGCGAATGTTTCGCTCCTTTCAGACTTTTATCTCTACTCTCCACAAAAAGTGGAGTGTTCCTCATCTATGGTGGCAATGTTCCGCTAATGGATAAAGGACGGACCGAATTCTTTGTTATAAAGACTGTTATACGGTTGTTTGTGTATCACATATACATATGTAGCGCACATTGGGAGATGAGCCTTAATTAAAGGATTGTATTTAAAGTAATGTGAAGTCCATGGTGCTTAGACTTCAACAACCTCTCTGTGTCTACTTTTGATGGACACACCTTAGCACTATTCGGTAAAGTTGATGAGATCGTTCCAGTACATAACTTCGCATCGTAACTAATGTCATGTTGACTCCACGATACACTTTGAGTCACCTAAAAGGTTCATTGAATTCGAACACAAATTGGCAAACAAGCTGGTTTGCAGTCCTTCCATAATCGCGTTAGTATAACACAACATCCGACCGATTACACAGTGGTAAGAAGATAAATAATTTTTTAATAACCTTTGCTTCGGGCGTCAGTTTTTCATAAATTATCACGTGTTCAATTGCTCCGGAATTGGCCATGTATCCCAGGTGGGGTCAATTGCTTGCTAATACCTCAGAAAAGTTTTGAAACTCTACAACAATCGGTGGGCACTGATTACACCGTCAGTATGATCGAGGCATTTCGACTTCGGTACACTTAAAAGAAACCATGTTGGAACAAAAGATTCTGCATTCTCAATTTATACAACCATTAACCGTGCACTTTTGTGCGCCCGTTTTGGTTGCTTTCTTTAGACTACCCATTTGGAGAAAGAGTAGAGTGAAGACTGGTATGTTGAGAATTGATTCAAGAAACAGGCACTTCGTATAGACCAGGGTTTCAAGGGTAATGAGTAGATCATCATCATCATCATCATCGTACAGCGAGATTCATTGATCGCTGCCAAGCTCACAATGTACACAAATCAAATGATAAAGCAAAAGATGGAGAGGGATTGGGCCTACTTCGAGGGAGGCAAAGAAAAAGAACCTCTATGTTCAACACATAGAGTACACAATCTACGTGTTCATG